TGGTGGCAGAGGTGGGATAAGTGATATCTCAATTCTCAAACAAAATATTCGGTGGTTTCTGGAGGAACGCCTTGTGCTTGAATGACTAGACATACCTTACTTGACATGGACTTTACAAATATGTGTGACCCCACCCCTGTGTTGTGTCCATCTGATAACCAGCGATATGAAGCCAGTGCCTGTGCCCCAAACGATAGCCCCGGACCATCAAACCCTCCACGTACTGTTTCGTCTAAAGAGGCGCCGTCTAGTAACTTAGAAGCGACTATACTGCATCAGTTATCAACAGTAGTGGAACAATTGAAACTGCAAAGAAAGAGAATTGGCGAAATTGCAGCTACAAAAACATCGCCCGATTCTGTGAATAATATGTCTAATAGTGAATACAAATGGGGCAGGATACGTGGTAGGCGGAATCAGTGGTGACTTTGCTGCAAAATTATTCGGAAATGGAATTATATAGAAGTGAGGTGTTTGATGTGAAAACTTGCCTAAAACAAGGTGTGAGTGCGGGGGGTGGTTACAACATATCAAACAACGTTACGTTTGGGCCGAATTCTGGTGAATATAATTTCGTTCCTAGTGTAACATCTACACCGAATACTAGAGGTGACGTCTCCGGATCTGTGTACCGTAAACCTGTGAGGACGCCCCAAGCTTATGATGGTAGTACATCCTTCATGGACTACAGGTGCCATTTTCAACTTTGTGCTCAACTTAATAATTAGAGTGGAAATGAGATGGCTTTACATTTAGCCACAAGTTTAAAGGGCAGTGCCCAGAAAGTGTTGACGTCGTTAAAGGTGGAAGATCGTTTAATTTATTCAAAAGTTATCGGTGCTTTAGAAGACAGATTTTTACCCTAAAATCAGTGTCAATTATATAGAGCCCAATTGAAGGCCCGGAAAAGAAAACCAAAAGGAAGTCTGCCCGAACTTGGGGAAGCAGTAAAGCGTTTGGTGACAATGTCATATCCATCTGCTGATAGTGAATTACTTCAAATTTTAGCAAAGGATGCCTTTTGTGATGCTCTTTGTGACGATCGAGATATGGTGTGGCAGATTCAGAGAACCAGACCAACAAATGTTGAGGATGCTGTAAGGTTAGCCGTAGAGTTAGAGGCACACCGTTCCGCCTGTGACACTCAGCCAGGGAAAATCCGAAGTGTAGATACACCACCTGAGTTAGTTGAGCTACAAAATATGAAGAAGAAAATCAGTGATATGAACGCGTCATTAGAGAAGTTCAAAAGTGACCAACGAAAGATGAGTGTGGTAAATACAAAACAACCTGAGTATAAAAACCAATCTCCAGGTAATACCAATAATTATAACACCAGTAGAGGGGCGACAAATGGAAATGGAAGTGCCAGTTTTAGAAATCAGCGCTATGACCATAACAACAGGTGGCACCATGCTCGGTCGGGTCATGGTAGTCGTGCAAATAAAAGAGCCTTTGGCACCCCCAATGAAACTGGTCTTCACATAAAGAGTATCATACAATCAGTGAATGTAAATGCCCTTATTGATACTGGGGCTACAATAAGTTTCTTATCAAAGAAGTCCTTCGATTCTATTCCACGAAATAATCGACCAGAACTAAAATATGTGGCTGCTAGATATAGTACAGCGAACGACGGGCTTATGGCC